TTATATTTGTTATAGTTGATTTTATATTATTTTATTTTATATAAATATCTTGTATTTTCCCTTGAGTTGAAAAGTAATTCAAGTTGAGGTTTTAGGATAAACCAAGAGTTCAATAAAGGAATCATTAAATTCATTTACTATTGCCTTTTTTGTGGATTCATATAGACGTGATTGTAATATTGTCTTGTATTTAATTCGATGGATTGAATTAAAAGTTTATCATTTAAGTTTACAGATACCAAGCCAACATCGTTCAGATAATAAAATGATGTTTTCTAAAATAACAGCCTAATACGAAGATATGAAATTCACACTCCACCTAAGCGTTGAATTGTTCAATGAGTCAATTCATTAACTTCCTGTTTTATACACTTTTTGTATATCAAATAGCTAACAATTAACAAAATAATGAAAGTAATTATTCTACCAATTACTATCTATAGCTGGCAAATTAAATTAGGCGAAGGTGTTGTTGATAGTACTCATAACGGATCAAAATATAGGAGGTTTTCTATTAAAATCAGTTTATAAACATAGTAAATCATAATTCTCAATTACGTTTGCTTTACGAGATCTTGGAAGTATTCGGACCTCTCCATTTTAGATTTGATATATATAGTGAATCTTCATAAGTAAAATTATTTACAATTCGTTTCTCCTCAAAATATTATTACCTGCTGGCCATCTAATTATATTATGAAAAAAAGTTATTCAAACTTTTAACCAGAAACTCATTCTTTGCTTGTGTACTCACCAAGACTATTAGACCTGAAGTTTTCTTTAAATAAATATTAATGGGTTATTAAATTCAAATACAATAAAAAGTTTAGTTGACTCACATTACTATACCAATGTTCATTAATGGTGGTGTCATATAAGCAGACCTATTAGAAGTAATCAATCAATTATTTATTTTAAAATAAAAAGAATTTAGTAATTTACCTCATTTAATGGCAAGCTAAGAAATAAATAAATAGTTAGTAAAAAACCAAATAAAAATAAAAAAATTCTAATAAATTTGTTACCTAATAAACTGATTAGTAAAGGGACTCCTATAACGAGATCTTTCATTAGGAGCATTTATTGAACCTCCTTCCTTAAATATCAAAAATAAGCGTATCTCTCGAATACTTTTGATCAAGAATTCCTCCAAATATGTACATTATCGTTATTATTGGTTAATGCTGTTAAGCTATCCTTACGGAAAAGAATTTCTTAAAATTATTTTGCGTATCAACAATCAACTAAAAAAAGATATTTTAACTTTTGTGTGTAGTAATAACGCCTATAAAAAAGCCTTACAGGGTAACATATAAACCTCTTCCTGGGTCACTTAAAATCTTTTGAAGAGGAACGGGTTTTAGAAGGTTAAAATTTACATTTTTTAATTAAATAAAGTTTGATTTTACTAGTTATTTCACCCCGATAAAGTATAATATGAAGTAAAGCTTACTGAATTAAAATTAAATAATTTTAAAATTAAAAAAAAAAAAATTGTAAATATTTACCTTGCCAAACAAGGAAAAAATTATTTTTGCTTCATAACAAATTACCCTGAGAACAGCCTAAAAGATAACAAAATTCAGCTTTCGACGTATTTTGATTTCAACAATAGGATTCAATAATGACAACAATCGGATTGGTTGAAAATTACACCAACATTATAGGGTGAGAAAAAATTTCGTCAATGATTGTTAAATTATCCGATCAACCTAGGTTATTTATGGAAAAATTACTGTTGGAAAAAATTTAAACCGAGGGCTGAGTAAAAGTGAGTTTTCTATTGGTAAATTTCTATGCAAGAAAAAAAAGAAAATAAAAACCTCACCCGAAACAAAAAAAAAAAAAAAAAAAAAAAAAATGGTTTTAAAGAACAATTTAGAAAAATCTTTAAAAGACTTGGAAATGAGATTTAAAGAATTAGAGCAAAGTAACGAAGGGTTACGTTCAGAAGTCAAATATTTAAAAGAAAAGATACGAGAACGAGAAGAATTGTCCAAAGAAAAGCAAGGAATTATTAACGAATTAGAAAAGAGAACCAGAAATCTTGAATCAATTTTATATGATGATACTATTGTTAGTTTAACTATTACAGATACTAATAAGGATGACATATTGAACAACTTTGGCGGTTTGCGAAGATATCGAAAATTGACAAAACTCCGTTGCTATAGAACTCAAATAACTAGATTACAAACATTACCAAATTCCTTAACGGATCTCCGTTTCTCTAAAACTCCAATAACATGCTTACCATCTTTACCTAATTTCTTAACTAAACTGTATTGCTATGAAATTCAAATAACAAGTTTACCAACATTACCAAACTCCTTAAAGGAACTCCGTTGTTATAGAACTCCAATAACAAACTTACCAACATTACCTGACTCCTTAACAATACTCTGGTGTTTTGAAACTCAAATAACAAGCTTACCAACATTACCTAACTCCTTAACGAAACTCCGTTGCTATAGAACTCAAATAACCATCTTACCAACATTACCAAACTCCTTAAAGGAACTCCGTTGCTATAGAACTCAAATAACAATCTTACCAACATTACCTAACTCCTTAACAGAACTCTATTGCTCTGAAACTCAAATTACTAGTTTACCAAAATTACCAAACTCCTTAACGATACTCGATTGCTCTGCAACTCAAATAACAAGCTTACCATCATTACCAAACTCCTTAACATTACTCTGGTGTTCAAACACTCAAATAACAAGCTTACCAGCATTACCTAACTCCTTAACGTACCTCCATTGCTTTAATACTCAAATAATGAGCTTACCAGATTTACCCAATTCCTTAACGCGAATCTACCCTTCATACCTTATATATTTTACTCTAAAGTACATGCCGGGTAATTGGGTCGAAGATTCGAAAAATGGCAGGTGATTTGGTCGTTGGATATTTGGGGAATTAAGATCGGAGAAATCAAGTAATAACTTTGCCTCAATCTTGTATAGAAGTTTAAATAAAACCATACTATACATACCGAAAGGATATGACCGAAAGGAAATTTGATTGTCGGCTAGATGGTTAGCCAGGTTACTTGAGTAGTCGGGATATTGGAAAAAACAAATATTTATTTATAAGTGTATATATAAATATGTCAAAAATAATTTTTTGATACCGGTTCGATATTTTGTCAATTGAAAATTTAAATTTATTTCTGTTTAAATTTATCTTCCTCTTTAATTAAATAAATTTGTATATTTGAAAATAGCCGAACCCAATAATTTCTCTTAACTAATCTAAAAATAAAAGAAAAATAAATCGATGATAATTCAAAAAAAAAAATTCAATCATTATTACCGATGAATTCTAGTAGAATAAAATGTTTTGAAGAGAAAGTAATTGATGAATTTTAATCATGAGTTATTTCTAAGATAGATCAAAAGTAATGCGTAATAAATTAATTTCACAGTTTTTTTCTAACGCGTTCTTAGTAGTATACCGTAACAAAAATTCTTATAAAAAAATTCATATTACTTTGAAAAAAAGGCAGTGATATTCGAGAGAGAAGTTACTTTATTATTCATTTTGCTGGACAATGTAGAAGTAATAGGTTAGCAGCTAAAAAATTTGAAGTTGAGCCTAATCAGATACGATATTGGAAAAGACAAAAAACTAATGGGTCAATTTCCTTTCATGAATCTATTAAACATTGGCCTTCTTTGGCAGCAATGTGCTGAAATTGTTATAGTCTTTACGAATAATTCTTCAACCATATCCACAGCTTGGGTAAATAAATAGTTGTATTTACGTTATTCTATATAGTATTGAATAAACAAAACGGGTTTTAATCACGAAGGGAAGCGTATATTTATTTATTTAAACTAAAATAGTTTAGTATACGAGGAGATTAGTTATGGAGTTATTGGTAATTGTTTTGTTCACAAGAATAGCATGACTTATTCTTTAAAAAATTTGGTTGAGAGTATATTAAGGATTTAAGTGACACTCTTCAAGAAAGGAAAGGAAGCTCCAATATCATGCGGAACTGGCTGAAATCAAAAGTTCGATATGTAGAATGGGACCTATTGCGTCTACAATTAATAATTTTTACTTTTTCGATGCAATTTAAAGAAAAGGAAAAAAAAATATACATTGATAAAATTCGTTTAAGTTGATATAACGCCATGTTATACTTGAACATGCTAGATGAAGCGCCTAGTATATTAATTCTTTTTGCCGCCTATCAAATTATCTTGAGAAAATAATTATCATTTTTGATCGAATGTTTGTCATATTCACAGCGATTAGATTTAAAAGTGATGTATGTGTTGCAAGATTTTGTTCGGACCTCATTTAAGAATCCTTGATCAACCGCACAACGCCTTTAGGATTTTCAAGAAAGTAGTATTTAGGAAGGGTAAATACTTTGAATTGCGGTATTAACAATTCCAGTTGACGTAGTATTCAGCTTTTGAAAAAGTATGTTATGTGTTGATATAAATGATAATCAAGAGATTCCTTATTAATGCTAGTTGGTCAATCGCCTTTCTTAAAGCTTAACCTAAATTGCGCCAATTAATTAAACAAACAATTCTAGGAAAATTATTGTCTCAATTTTTTTACACTTTTAAAATTGATAATATAAAACCATTATGTCATCAATACCCTACTTTACGTTACATGACTGGTGAAAAGTTATTCTAGATAAAATCTAGGTTTTTCCAATTGTCTAAATAGATTAAAATCTTAATGAATTAATAAAATGTTTACCTGTTCTTTTAATTATTCTATCATTTTTTATTATATGTTTTGGTACCATGAAAACCTAACTTTGCAAAATTTTAGCACTATATCGAATAATTATTTTCTTTTTGGCTAATCAATTCAGTAAATATCAAATGTTATATAAAATATTACAATAGATGATATAAAATCATAACCGTCCGAAGAATCACTTGCGAAACTAAAGTTTGCGCAGCTCCTTTAAAAAAAAAAAATAATAATGCAAAAATTTTAAGGACTTCCGAAAGCATTCAGTTATCGTATTAAATCCTCAAGCTTTCATTCTTTGAGTAATCGCGTTCTAGCACTTGACGTTTTAAATTTTTTTTTTTTTTTTTTTTTTTGCAATTTTCATAGTGCAGTTGGATAAAAAAATTCATCTTAAGTCAAATTTAATCCTGATTAATTCGATTTGCAACCAATTCGAATGATTCGGATCAATTCGAATTTTAATATAAATGAAATTTCATATAAATTTATTAAATTCTTTTAAAAAAATAAAATAAAATCATAATGATACGTAAATTTGTGATAATAAGAATTCTGTTTAAAATATTTGAGAAAGTTAAATGTATTTCATATTGGTAATATTTGATAGTTTATCTAATTCATTAATCACTATCACATAGTAGTCAGACTGGAGAGGCATCAATGAAAGAGCCACAACCATCTAGAAATGCAGTACTTCAGATAGTGATAAGAAAGACTATTAGAGAAAATAAGAACTAATTATCAAATCATAGAAATTTTTTTGGATATATTATACAAAAAATTCATTCAAATCAATTTTAATTTGGATGATCCGATCTGAATGATTCATCCAAAATAAGCTAATTCGAATCCTATTGATATGATATCTTTTTTAAAAAAAGTTTTGAATTTATTTATTGAATCATGGACAAAGTTTTAAGCAAAAATGAAATGAAGTCATATAATTATATCAAGTCATACTCAAGGAGCATTTGAAATAAAAAATAATTATTTACATTTTGTGCTAAATTCAATGATTTATTGATTCAACATTATATCTTACATTATAGATATTAACAAAAAAAAAGGTTTTAAATATACTTATTTTATAAATTTTAAAAGGTGTTGAAAATTTTGATTTAATTCTTTTAATAATTCTGCTCTCTCTGACAAAACTTTAACCATATTATCCAAAAGTGATTGTCTTCTAGGTATTCTCTTTCTTGGTTTAGTAATATTATCTACTACTATATAAGGTGTCTGTTGAGTTATCTCTATTAGTTTATTAATTGTCTGAGATTAAAGCTTCGAATGGTTCAGTTCAGTCTGGATTAGATACTAATTCGTATCTGAACTGAAAATTTCAGTTTAGTTCAGTTTGGATTATTAATCTTAAAAATGCCAATCTGAATCAAAACTGAACTACAGACTAGTAAAAATCTAAACTGAACCAGAAATTTTGGATGGGTTCTAATGATGAATTGTACTTATTCTGAATTATCACTCGCAGAAATGGAAGGGACTATAGATTTCTTAATCAACTTTTTCGATTTTACTTTTCAATATCTTCATTAAAAAGTAAGTTAGATATAATAATGAATGAAAATTCAGGAATTAAAAATAAATGAAATTACAAATTAAAATTTATGAAGTTAATGACGAAGAGAAAATATTGCGAAGGAATAAAGGAAGTTTTTATACGCAAGTACAAGGTGGGCGAGCGTGGAATGTTCATATTTATAAAAAAATAATTATTAGAACATCAAAATGATCTACAAAGGGACTAACTGCAAAAATGTAACAATTTAACGGTACTTTCCAATAAAGGTAAGCATATTCTTCCTTTGATTCTTAAATTTATAAATTAGATCTGAATATCGTTACGATAATGCTTATTACCTTATGGTTGTTTAAAAAGAACGATGTATGTGATCCGACAATTTTCCTTCTCTTGATAAATTAATTGTAGGGATGTAATTAATTAAAAAAAAAACAGTAGACAATTCCAATTCCTTATTTAATAACAAAATATTCTTAGCTAAGTATTTTCCTTTAAATTCTTTGTAACGATATCGATTCTTGTATTTTAAATGTATTTGAACCGACGTCGAGGAAGCACCTTAATTACGTTGGATTAGAATAGGTTATGAAATATGTATTTTTAATTAATGGACTTCTGGGTTCGTATTAATTATTAGCATAATAAAGTTAGATCTATTTTCCAAATATAGATTAGACGTTTCATGTCATTTTTATAGCCTATTACGCATAAGCTTATGTTTTATGTCAGCTTAATGGATATTGTTTAATATATAAGAAAAAAAATCAAAGACCTGTAGAAGGCGGCTTTTATTTTAAAATACTTACCCGATTTGGCGCTGCTCCCCGATACCGACAAATACGCCTAAAAATCATTAAATTGAAAATCTTTTCTAATACAGATGCTATATATTTTACAAGAATATCATTTCTATGGTAAACACGTAAACCAAACGAAATTTTAGATTTAAATCATCACTATGACAAAAGCAAGTTCAAGAGATCCAGAAAATTTTTTATCAGCTTTAGGGGAAGAATTTGATGATTTGTTGTTCAAAAATGGCTAAGTAATTTATCAAACACATTTAAAATTCCGAAGCTGAGTACGACGCCTCTCTTGATACATGTAATTTATGATGTTGGATAATTCTTAAATAGCAACAAAAGTTATTAGAGATGAATAGATATGATTATGTAATGTTGACTTACGTAGGGTTTGATAGTCAATTATAATTTGGAGTATAAATTATCCTTTTTTAAAAAAATATCACAAAATTCATGAATAGTTGTAACAGGAAACAGTATATTTATTTATCGCGTAGTTAAAATAGAAAAAGTGTTTACTAAAAATAAACTAATTTCTGTTGATTTTATTTCTTACGAAATCGAATTAATGTCGTGAAATAAAACAAGTTTAACGATGTTGATAAGGATTACGAGGGACTATAAAGCTTGCATATATATACATATTTTTTCAAAACTTTTACATTGCCAATAATCCGGACATTTATTAAATTTTAATCTTTTTATTTTATTATTTATTATTATTATTTAAATCAAATTTGACGCACAAATGATTTTTTTTAAATAATTTTTTATATAAAAATGATAAATTTACACAACATAATTAATTAAAAAGTGAGTATATTAAGAAAGGATCTGTAAAAACCTTAACCGGTTAAAGATTAAACGGTTCCACCGACCGTCTGGATCGGGAATTTTTAATAAAAAAAAAAATTAACCG